TAACAAACATATCTTGTTGTGTCCCCATCTCTGTAGCAAAACACTACAGTATGATGTAATTTAGATTGTCAATAAAACAGATTAATAAAGCCCGCTATACATCTTAAATTTTAACCGCCTGAGTCAAACTGTACAGTTCTCAGTTTGGGCTTGTACAAAAACTAAAACTGTTAGTGTGTAGAATTTTGACTGTACAGTTTAAATTTTACCTACACCCAGTTTTAACTGTACATTTCAACTATTTAGTGAAAACTGTAAGTGTGGAGCAAGCCTAACAATTTATTCTTGTACTTACTTTGATAATCATGAACTTCTCGATACCTCTACACCTATTTAATTAACCTTTTCAAATTTTTAATATCATAAGAATCGCATAGAGAACTAGTAAAACCTTGTTTGCAATCGGTAATAGTTAAATCTTACTAGTATAAATGCGAAAGTTTAGATGGATGTTAGAATTTGTAACTTAAACTTCTGAACGAATATGGATGAAATTTTGTAGAGATGTAGATGATAGTCTGGAAGAATACATAGGCCTGTTATTTACTTACTTCTCTAGGATCCACACCAGACACATCATCCAAAGCAAATATCTCCTTTTGTCTGAACTCTGCATTGTCATCAAAATTAATTTTTGCATCTACAGCCACAACACGACCATCGTCTGTCTCTACCAATGGATTAATTTCAAGTTGGGTAGCATCAACCTGGAAACAAATGTTTCTGAGAATGTTAAATAATTCTATAATTAAACTGAATAATAGAACTGTACAGTTAAAAATCCATGAGTAAGGAACATTTGAACTATCATTTTGACTACATGGTTATTTTGTCTTACTTAGTTTTAACTGTAAAGTTTCTGTCTAGATTAAACTGGAGGTGTGTAGTTCGGAGTAAATTAGCAATGGGCAAAGACCCAATGGATGATGGTGAGATCAAAGGATGGTATGTGCTAGAGAAGTGATAATTTACTCTCGGAAGCCCACTTCATACTTGAAGGGAAAACAACACAATGTACACTTGTTGCAACTTGTTCCATACATTTTGATTGCCGAGTGATATGGATGTCAAAATGAGTCCAATATTTTTTTTAATTGAATTTTAATATTAATTACTATTGTTTTTTTTTATTTACCTTTCCATTTTAATTCTTCTTTAGTAAAGAAATTTCAATTTTTTAAAGTAATTTTCATTAATAAATATTTATTTAAATGTACAAATCATGGCTATAATATTAAATACTTGAACCCACCTTAATAAAAAGATTCCACAATTTTTTTATTTCTTCTGCACACTTTTGTACCATGCCACCTTTGAATTCTAAAAATTCTGCAATCTCAATGGCTACTTTATCAGTAACTCCTTCATAGATGTCTATAGGGACAGTCTTTAATAAGTGAGGAGTTTTTTCTGCTACCGCTTCGATGTCCATGCCTCCAGCCGGTGAGGCTACCAACGCAGCACCATTATATGTTCTCTCCATAACAATACTAAGATATGTCTCTCTTATAATATTAACACTTTCAGCTACCATTACCTTATCAACTAATATACCCTCTTTTGGAGTCTGTTTGGTGATTAATTTGTGGCCAATCATATTTTTTGCTAAGGGCAATATTTCCGATGGATTCTTGGTCAAATGAACACCTCCCTTAAAACCATTGTCAAAATGACCTTTTCCTCTACCACCAGCTAAAATTTGTGCTTTCACCACGTACTCTTGAGCTTTAAAGTCCGATAAGATCTTGGAATCCAAATTGGAGTCGAGAAGACGAAAATTTTGAATAGAAACCTGGTGTTTTCTCAATAAATCTTTACTGTGATATTCTTGAAGATTTAAATTTCGTTTAATGTTCACTCGCGGACAATAATTGACTTTATAAGACAAAACATTTAAGATTGACAAATTTCTACTTTTTTTTAGAGCAGCCATTATATTGAACTTTGTCCACTTTTAAATTTAAACACCAAATTTAACCTAAATACATCTATAAAATAAAACTTATGTAACTGCCTTTAGATAGCTATGTGTTTATATGAGATAAGTGAAATTACAACTGCTTGATAAAAATAATATCGCCCGCTAGCTAATTTTAAAAACTTTAATGTTAAAACTTGTTAAACCTAAAAGTCCGATAAGCGAAAGATGACTTTATGTTGATAAATTGATAACAAGACAACATTCTCCTTGGATTATGTCTAGTTTACATTTGGCTAGTACAGTTAGATAGTAGCACAAGGCTAGCGTGGAGTAATTGTTAGCATTTCATTTAGAAGGTGAGGAACAACCAAGCGGTGATTCGTCAAAATCGCGAAACAACGGCTGTGTATTATAATGATCCGAATCTGTAGATATTTTGCGTACCTTTAGTCAAGAGAGGCAAAGGTATTCCTATAAAGGAAGGGGAATTTCCACTGCTTTTATAGGAAGTGGAAATTCCCCTCTACCCGTGGGTTTTATAATATTTCCCAAATTTTCTTCCTTTTCCCATCCTCCCCATATACGAGAACGGTGGGAAGGGAAATTAAAGGAAAAACTAATGTACCAATGTTAAAAAAACGATGAAAGTTAGAAGTGCCATTTGACAGCTCCACTGGCTTATTTCAATTCTACTGGATAGGCATATTGTAAACCAAGCATTAAGTACAGCAAAGACAAGTTTCCAAAGAGCACAACGATATTTTTAGTGTTGCTACTTGAAATCATTTAACCAAAGAGCTTAATAAAAATGTTTTAGAAAAATGACAATGTAAAGTTACTTTGTAATATGAAAAATGAAACTATTGAAAAAGCGATATAAGAAATAAAAAATTATCGTAGCGTCTATTTTTTTTACCAAGTAGAGCATTGTATTATATAAATTGAAAACAAGTTTGTGCCCTCGTTTTGTTCATTCAAGACATACATATATAGAAATTGTCTATGATAGATGCACTTAATTTACGCTTTTTTAATAGCATTATTTATTTTAATGTTTTGTAATTTCCTTTTATACGTGTAATGTTTTGTTTAGATACTTTTTAAATTCAAGATAGGCACCTTATGGTTTTCCATTACGTTCAAATATGGTAACATTACTAGGTGTTGCCACCGAAAATTTTCCTATGTCTTCGTAACGCGAACAACTTCCTTTTTCCCGTGTACTTTTGACAACACGAGGTTATAATTTCAGTTTAGCCAAAAAGTATGTTTAATTTCACTTAAATTTGTTTTGTTTATCAATAAAAATGAGTAAACATTGTATAAAAAGTAATTGTAATTGTTTTAGGTGCTAAATATGACCGAAGAAAACTGGAACGACGATAGCATGGATGTTGGCAGCATGGCTGTGGAAAGCATGCCATTGCCCCAGCCGGCTGACATTCCCGAAATCAAACTTTTCGGAAGATGGAGCTGCTACGATGTTCAGGTGTCCGATATGTCTCTCCAAGATTACATATCTGTCAAAGAAAAGTACGCCAAATTTTTGCCTCACTCGGCCGGCAGGTATGCGCACAAGCGATTCCGTAAAGCTCAATGCCCAATTGTAGAGCGTCTCACAAACTCTCTGATGATGCACGGCCGTAACAATGGAAAGAAATTAATGGCAGTTCGTATCGTAAAGCACGCTTTTGAGATTATCCACCTTTTGACTGGAGAGAATCCCCTGCAGGTACTGGTTACCGCTATTATTAACTCAGGACCTCGTGAAGATTCCACTAGGATTGGTCGCGCTGGTACCGTCCGACGTCAAGCTGTCGACGTTTCGCCCCTCCGTCGTGTAAACCAGGCTATCTGGTTGCTGTGCACGGGAGCGCGTGAAGCCGCATTCAGAAATATTAAAACCATCGCAGAGTGTGTAGCTGATGAACTTATCAACGCTGCAAAGGGTTCATCAAACTCATACGCCATCAAGAAGAAGGATGAGTTGGAGCGTGTTGCTAAATCCAACCGTTAAGTTTCATAAGGATTGGTCAATAAAATTTTAAAACATATTTGGCTTTTAATTCATAATTATTCTATCATTATTAAGAAAAAAGAATTGTAATGAATGTATCTGATGTACTACTAAAAGTCTCAATTACAATTTAAACTAATATATAAATGTTCATATTCATTGGAAACAATTATAGTGTTCATATTCAATAGTCTGTAAATATAGATTTCCTGTTTGACTTACATTATGTTTTACTTGTAAAATCTTAGTAAACCAATTGTAAATAAAAAGTTTAATAAATAATGCTTAAGGAGATGATGCACTTGAAAGACAGACAATAAGTCTCTTTAAAAATAATTCAACTAAATCTGCTAAGTAATTACAATTACTAAAATATTTTTGTATCAAAGTTATCAGATTACAATACATATGTTAAAACTACCCCAAATTAAATTGGACTTAAATGAAAAGGGCACATCTACATCATAGTATGAAATACTCCATAAGCTAAACAGTTTTTTTAAGTCCATGTGAATATAAACACGGCAACAAGTATAAAGTCATATAATAGATGAAAACCTAGAATCTTAGCTTAATATTTAACCTTTGGTATTTAAAATATTGAAATCATGGTATAAGTATTCCACTTCAAGTTCAGGAAAGTTTAGGCTGTAATGGTATGAACATATTCATATGTATCCTTGAGATGGGTAAAACATAATACATCTATATATTGCTGAGAAATCATGAACTTTGATAAAACATTTACCAATTACAGTTTTGGAAGTCGAAAATGTTATGTGTTTTTAAGTTTATTTTCCCATGACCTGAAGCTGTACTAAATTGTGTGGATGTATAAATTTTAACATTAAACAAATTCTACTGGCATTATGTTTACAACTTGCAAATATTTTTACTCATGTTCACAAATGTTTTCTTTAAAATGGAATTCCGGTAGATGTAATTTTTGCTTGCTGGTAACCTGTAAAGTAGACTGCTGTAAACCCGGAGGTGCCCGTCGCCCGTTTGTCATCTTGTCAATGTCAAAAAACTTATTGACTTGATCTTTTTCGAACTGTAAGATTTTAAGCATAATATTCAGTATAATATGTTTTTAGATATTTTCGTTAACAGTACATAACATTTAAGAGAAAATTAAAATAAAGTGTCGGCAAAATGATACACAGCTTGTTTATTATAAATCCATCTGGGTAAATGATTGTACACGTCGTCTTATTTATTTACACAGAAAATGTCATATTTAAATGAACAATTTTATTACAGGGATGTGTTTCTTGAGAAACATTGGCGAAGTGTTATACCGAGATCAGTCTGTGACTATTATTTAGAAGCTCAGCGAGCGTCTCCTAATGTATGTTACAATTTTAAACTTTTATCTTGTTAAAGAAATTTTACATTTATAATTACATATGCTGGGTTTGCATTATTCCAGAGTGCTGTATTTTATTATTTTTAAAATACAGTAAACCAGATGTAAGGAGTTAAAATATCAGTCTCTTTTAGGATGTTCCACCAGTTTTAGCAGCGCCTCATCACTATTTAATATCCATACAACGAGGTGGCATAGCACTTGTAGCAGTCAGCAAGCAGGAAGTGGCCCCTCTATTTGTTATAGAGTTTCTACATAGAGTTGTGGATACATTTCAGGTATTTAGACATTCAAACAAGTCTGGTTATAAATTTTCCTCCACACATTTTACTTTAGAAACATACAAAATATCATACAATTAAAATCCAATTGGATTAAACCAATTATATGTCCACATAAAATACATACTAGATATGGAGTTGTAGAAACTAGTTTCTAGGATTAAACACATGTATTTTAGTCTGAGATATTCCTAAGCTATGGTCACAACAATATTTGAAATAGTAAACACTACTGAACAATTAAATAAAGACTGTTGTTAGTGATTATACCCCAATTACTGGTATCTCATTTTCGTTTCCTTATCGCATTAGTATAAAAAAAACTTTCTCCTTAAGTAGAAATATCATATATAAAAAATACATGTTGTTATTTGTCTTTTTTCAGGACTACTTTTCAGATTGTACAGAGACAATAATAAAAGAAAATTATGTTGTAGTTTATGAGGTAAATGTAGAAGTTTTGTATTTACATTTTAAGAATTATAACAGAGAATTTTAACAATTGTTATAAATGTATTTTTTTGTAGTTATTGGATGAAATGTTGGATAATGGTTTTCCATTGGCAACAGAGAGCAATATTCTCAAAGAATTGATTAAACCACCAAATATTTTAAGAACTATAGCTAACACGGTTACAGGAAAATCAAAGTAAGTTTCTAATTTCATTACAAAGATTATTTACTTTACAGCGTAAATCTAACCTCACATTTGGATAGATACAGTTTCTTATATGGTAATTTATAGTTCATTTTCTAATTAATTGAATTCTTAATCTTGGAACAATAGTGTGGTACATCAGAGGATCTAGTGGTGTTTCATGTTAAAAGTAGTCTTAATATGAATAAAGGTTGTAACAAATAGCTTTAAATTATTATTCCACTATTTGTGCAACTCAATTCTATTTAAGTGATTTGCAATAAGGAGTGGTTTTTGTCTTATTGTTTTGGCTGGGTTTCTGTTAGTGGAATGCCGCTAAAAGGCCTGACTGTATATTTCATATATCTGAGTAGTGAGAATAGCTTAAATATTTAAAATTTTGCAGTGTATCATCAATATTGCCATCTGGTCAGTTATCAAATGTGCCTTGGCGTCGGTCTGGCGTGAAATATGCAAATAACGAAGCATACTTTGATGTTGTTGAAGAAGTAGATGCAATTATAGATAAAAGTGGTGTAACAGTGTCAGCAGAAATACAAGGATATGTGAGTGTTTGTAAGCCCACTTGAATTAGTATAAGCCTTTCAATTATTTTGACTGTTGAATAAACACTCCTGTACCCATAACATGTATTCTGTTTGTTGCAAGTAGTCAAAATGTTTATAAAATATTTAACAATGTTTAATACTATTTACTATCATTGCTGAATTAGGCTTATAAAAATAAGTAAATCACCAGGAAAGTGCAAAGTGGCAAGAGTAATTGCTGTTTGCCCTTAATTTCATATTAGCATTTGACAAATGTAGCACTGAATATTTTCAATATGGCTATAATTCAATTAACATTTTACTTTACATGATTTCTTAAACACCATTAACACCTACTATGTCTTAGTGCAAGGTTAATATAAATCATCTGAAATTGTTTTTGTTGATTTTAAGATTGACTGCTGCATCAAATTAAGTGGTATGCCAGATTTGACCTTGACATTTGTTAATCCAAGGTTATTTGATGATGTATCATTCCATCCATGCGTGAGGTTCAAGCGATGGGAGGTAAGTTATATTAAATGTTTTCAGTAAATCTGCTTGTGACAAAATATTGCTAAAAGGGATACTTAGTAAAGTCTTGTTACATCAAATATTAGTAATAAATTGACCCTTTATACATGAATCAAATTAAAATACCTCCTAAGTATGTATTTTGATTGTACATTACATGTGTTTAAAAAAAAACACTGTCTCAGCATAATTAATGTGATTTATTCCAGTCTGAGAGAATATTATCTTTCATTCCTCCCGATGGCAACTTTAGATTGATGTCCTACCATATTGGTTCACAAAGTGTCGTTGCAATTCCTATTTACGTGCGACACAATCTTACTTTACGCTCAAATGGCGACCAAGGCAGGCTGGAAATGACTGTTGGACCTAAACAGACAATGGGACGGACGTTAGAAAGTAAGTATACAGTTGTCTTGGTACGACCCTGACCAACATAACAATATGATTTTGTAGTATACTAGATTTTGCCCGCGACTCCATCCGAGTCGAATTAAAAAAACAAAAATAAGCATTTTATGTGTTCTTGTGTGTGCTACATCTATTCCAAATTTCATTGATATCCATTCAGACTATGTTCTTACTGGTGACATAGCTTTTTAATGGTGAAAGTATTTTTTAAATTGGCTAGTTTTTGAGTTATTTCAATACATACAAAATTTCCTTTCCTCTTTATAATATTTGTATAGATTAATTCTGTTGTTAACTTATTTGTGTTTATTTCCAGATGTAGCTTTAGAGATTTGTATGCCTAAATGTGTGTTGAACTGCTCGTTGACAGCCAATCAAGGAAAGTACTCATACGATCCAGTCAGCAAAGTTCTTCTTTGGGATATCGGAAAAATAGAACTTCCAAAACTACCAAATATCAGGGGATCTGTAAGTATGCGTAGGATATGGTTTTTTTGTCATACTAGCTTTTGCCACGACTGCGTCGACGGAGAATAAAAATGTTAATATCACATATTGCGAATGTAGGTCATAGTATTGTTCTAAAGAGGATTTTTTTTAATCGGTCAAGTAGTTTTTCGGTTTATTCAATACTTACAAAAATATGAATCTTTCTTCTTTTTATTACTAGTATAGACAAGTTATACATTATACCTTTGACTATCTCACTTCTTACTAATATTATAAATTAGAATGGACGGATGGATGTTTACTACTACCTATTTTCAGACTGGATTGAAACGGATCTTGGTGAAATTTTGCACAGATGTAGTAGAACACAGTCTGGAACACATAGGCAATTATCTTTTTCTGTCCTGTGAAGTCGAGGGGCAAACACTAAATTAATATTTACAACTAGCTTTCGCCCGTGATTCCGTCCGCGTGGAATTACAAAAAAAATAGCCTATGTGCTCTTCTAGACTATCCTCTACATCTATGGTAAATTTTATCGAAATCAGTTCAGCTTTTTAGACTACAAACTCTAACATCTAAATTTTCGCATTTATAATATTAGTAAGATGTACGGGAACAGTTAGTGATAGTAAAGGGGTACTTATTGTTTTTTCTTTGTATAGATGTTTGTATAAATTAATTACAATAAATAAATAAATAAAGCTAATAATTTGCAGGTATCAGTAGCAGCAGGGGCGGACACTTCAGGTGCAAATCCTAGTATAAACGTTCACTTCACGATACCGCAGCTCGCCGTCAGCGCGCTCAGAGTCAGCCGCCTCGATATGTACGGTGCTAAATACAAGCCCTTCAAAGGCGTCAAATACGTCACGAAAGCGGGAAACTTTCATGTCAGAATGTGAATGTCTATGGTCCGAGAATGTTAAGGAGAAATATGATAAATCCGTTTTTATCAGACCATAATTACACTCTTTAAAAGCTGAAAATTATAAAATAAATATACAAAGAAACTTACTCAAAAAGTTGTCAGTTTTTCATTAAAATAAGACCACATATTGATGAGCATTTTCTTTGGAATTAAAAAAAAATATTAAATATCCCTCCTACTTCATCGTTCAATCCGATTTAATAACGCAAGTTGATATATTCTATGTATATTTTTTGGTTTGAATTTCCAAAGCAGTTAGCGCCAAAATGGAAGTCAAATAGCATAAAAAAACCCACAGTGCAATATATCTATGGTGTTTTTTCTTCTGTTTAAGTCGGAACAGATTATAAAGCATCTTTATCCTAAATATTGTCACAAAACATGAAATATTTTATGTCGTATATTTGTACTAGCATATTGTATAAACACTTATGTTATATCTAGTGGAATTTTTTCGTAAGTCCGAACTTTAATTATTTTTAAGAGATTCGTTTATGTATGTGACGTTTGCTTGACGTCTGAGAATCTGTTTTCGAGATATTATATTGTATTGTAAATGACAACACTGAATTTACCACAAACAAAACTCTCCGGAGGACTTATTTTCTCATCTATAAGTTTTATATCTATAGTTTAGTGTAATTATTGGAATCATAGACGATAATTGTAATCATAAGTTTTAAATTCCACTTCTAAAGTATAATTTTATATGTTATCTCAAATAAAATACATTTTACAGTACGATTGTCTTATTTTTTACCAAAAATTTTTATGCCATCAACCAGTTAGTCACTAAAATGACGCTGAGTCTCCTAAGGACGTTATAAATCAATCTGTGCACGTTTACGTTAAAGTTTGAGTCCCAATAAAAGTATATTTTGTCGAAGGTTGAGATAAAACTTAACCAGATGTAATAAAACGCTCAAATTGTGGAATAACATGGGTTAAATTCTATTGAGTATAGTAGGTAGATCACCCTTGGTCACAACAGTAGCATAGGCTAGGCATGGATTGTATAGACTCGCTGACGCCAGTTAGATTTCATATTTTGCCAGTCCAGTTATAGATTGCTACTGTCCAACTGTATTAGCCAAGTGTAAACCAGGCATGATGTAAGTAAAAAAAGAATGTGATTGAAGGGCCACAGTCCAGGGCTTTTATGTATTTGGAATAGTCGCTGCATCGGATTCAATGTATACAATAATTATTAGCAAATCTGGATTTTATACATAGCCTAGACAACATTTATCGATGACATTGGCTAGCGGCTGGACAGGGTCTGTTATCTGACCACTTCCTTGCTAAGATAATTTAGAAAACTCGTTTACATTATTCATAATACTAACTTGTTATTACGGTTAATGTTATATGTAATTGGTACTAGTCAAGTATAGGTACAATTTTTATATTGTTTTTATAAATTTTATTGTATTTTTAAGTATCTGTGAAAATAGTTTTAAGGAATAGAGTTTTAAGTTTAGAAGCATGAAAGCTGTCGCCTTTGGCGCCGTCTGCGAGGAGTTTAGAATAAAAAACCTATGCGCTATCTCATACTCATCCTGATTCTCATTCTGATCCTTCTTTCAGCTCAGACCATTTATGAGTGCGGCAGTAAGTATTAAAAACATTTCTCGGAACATATCTTACGTTTACCATTTTCCTAGTGTTTTACGATTCTGACCAAGTATCACCGGGCCGAGTTATTGCGATCATCGTGATGACCTTTGGTCGTGGTAAATTTAAAAGCACGTCCTTCGTCTGACTTTTGACTTGTGGCTTTGTCCGCTTTTATCTTGATTATACAATTATAGCTGGCGCGGTGAGCCACTCGACGGGCTATGAAATCATATACTAGATTCATTAGAATTTAAAATAAATCTATATTTAACCTAAAAATATACTTTAGAGTTGGACACTGTTTAAGCATGTGTGGTTATTTTTTTAAAACCAATAATAAGTATCACCACACTGCTTTCGGTATAGATTCTTTCTATCATGCTTAATGTTATAAATGCGAAAGTTTAGATGAATGGATGGATGTTTATTAGAGTTTTTAGGTTAAACGGCTGAACGGATTTCGATGAAATTTGGTACAGATGCAGAGGATGGTCAAGAAAAACACATATAATACTTACTTTTGTTTTTTTTTAATACTACGCGGACGGAGTCGCGAGCGAAAGCTAGTTATTCATATGTCAAGATTGCTATTCGCGTAATAAGGTTTCAATAAAATGATTTAACTATTATAAAACAGTTGATGTATGTAACACGGTCTAAGTTTCATGGTAAGGGTTACAATTCCTATTGCTGTATTGATGATGATTTTTTAAACGTAATGGAAGAAATGATGGAACCTTTCTGTTTAATTTCGTAGACGGAACTCCCGGTATATATTGGTCATAGATGAAGGTATAATTGATTTCTTTTTATGTAAGTTGTAATCAAGTGCACAGTTCACACGATGTTAATACATCTATCCTCAATTACGAATCGAAGTTACGTTTCACTATCATGACTTGGCCTCTTTTTTAAAGTGTGTCTAAGCTTTCTGTACCACCATGTGAAAATAAGATGATTATTTTGTTGATTACGTAGGGAATGTTTTAATCAATATGCAGGTAACTCAAAAATCAATATCCATTGAATTTCGTAAGTTTATCGACTATAGTGTGCCTAAATAATATAGATTAGTTTGATAATTCATTTCAAATTTAGTAGGGATGGGTTGTGGAAAATTAGTCATGAATCTTATCGATTTTCGATTTTTATTCTTATAGAAGTTGGAATCGATAGATTTATAGTTATAACTTATGAAATAAAAATAAAACACTGTTTCTCCAATTAATAATGACCATAACAAATAATGAGAGAAAATAAATGCTTATTACTACTACAGTCGTACGTAATCGGATTGGATTTCGCTATTTTTTCTGTCATCGCTTAATTCTCTACACTGTAATCAATACTAGAATTGTCCTCTAAATTAGTGAATAAGAAAATAATAATTTTAGTTGAGTTTGATAAATATTTAAACCGAATATCGATAGTTCAAAATTGTTCGTTATGTGTGTTTTCTTCGTCACGATACCTGTATATTAAGTATGGCATTTACCTTCATACAAATTGAATTCGATACTTCATATGCATCATTTATCAAACTAATCTATCTTATTTAGACAAACTATAGGGCCGCTGTCTACTCATCTAGCTACTAGATTTTCTCTGTAAATACAACCTACATTATTATTGTAGGTTTTAGAAAATGCTTTGTAAACAAGGCTCTTGAGTAGAGCGTACTCATACCTTTCTCATGTTTATCTGCAGCGATGTTCGTTCCGCTACTTTGGTGAACGCTATGCGACTATAACTGCATATGAGAATTAATCTTAAGTACACTGCACTGAGTATGTTGGAAGATGGTAATAAGGAGTATACAGTTTGATGACAAACCAAGACAAGTGTTAAAATGCAAAAGTTTGGAAGGATGGATGGATGGTTGTTAGAGTTTGTAACCGAAACTTCTGAATGTACCGCGATTAAAATTGGCTTTGATGTAGAGGATAGTCTGGAAGAACACATAGGCTACTTACTTTTGTTAATTTTAAATCCACGCGGACGGAGTCGCGGCCGCTTGCTAGTACATAATGTTCTCATGTTTGTGTCTTGTAGGAATACATTTTTTAAACTTTCGAAAAGCTTGAAAGACATTACATTACTGTCTGAATTCTTATTCTAAAGTTCTTTTTTTCGGGATTACGATAATTTCTGATTACATTTAAATATTCTTAAATGCTGAAATTAACTAGTTACAACATGTGATACGCTTGTTGTGATTTCGAAAGATTTCTGATGTGTTATGAATTAAAAAACGATGCAAAATGACTGTGTTAAAACAACTGTCATTTGTTTTATTATAATTTCCACTTCCATTGAAGCGACGAGTAAAAAATGCAATTGACAATACTACGATGGTTATTCTCAGCATTTGTTTTTTTGTATATATTTATTCAAGTGTAGTTCCAGTGGACCACCGACTGTCTGTTCCAGAAAGCATATCCGTCGAATTAAATGAAACAAAAGTATCGATAAAAAACACAAAAAGCTGTAAATAAAATGCACGCTTAAATGTAGACCAAAATTTATAATCTACTAGCTTTCGCCCGCTACTCCGTCCGTGTGGAATTAAAAAAAAAGGTGAGTAGCCTTTGTGTTCTTCCAGTCTATGCCAAATTTCATCGAGATCCCTTCAACTGTTTAGGCTGCAAACTCTAACAAACATCCATCCATCCATCCATCTAATCTTTAGCATTTATAATATTAGTAAGAGTAAGAGGTAAGATGTCAATGTTAAGTGGTGCATTTGTAAAAGTAAAGATTGCTTATTTATTTACAAAGAACTCTTAAGTAAGAGTTAATAAAGTTATTAGCTCAGTTGCAAAATATTTTAATATCTATAACATAGATAGATTAATAAAAAATAAAATGTGTTCTCCTAAGGTGCTTGACACTTGTATACTCATAATAAAAAATCTAAATATATTGCGTTGCATATTCGAATAGAAATAAAACAATTTTAATTATCTCTATACATAGTGTAAAGAAGAGCGAAGTACGAATAAGATCTTGTTAGAATCTGTAACAAATGGATTTAATTAATCAATGACAAAGCTTTTAAACCTTTAGGTTTTAAAAACAATCTTACCGCTGAATATGTCACCAGCGAGATGTTTGTGAATTTCATCGCAGTGAAAGCTATCGGCTTTTGTGATCTACAAATTAATAATAATATCAACAAATTTGCAAAAAATATGTATACACTACTAACTTTTGCACGCGACTTCATCCGTGCGGAATTAATAAATCTATTTAAAAATGTAGCCAATGTTACTCAATGATAATGCTTAAGAGCGAGCGCACATGTTTGACTAAAATATCGCATAACTGTCGCAATACTTACGATTGTCTATTGTCCGAAATTCAACTGTTTATTTACAACTAAAAATCTCATAGGAACTAAAGCGAGACTTAACAGTTATATGATGGTTTAGTTTCAGGTGTGCGGTCGCTCGTAATAGCGATTTTTTTTTTAAATCGGTCAAGTAATTTTGAGGTTTGTTCGTAAATACAAGAATACAAGTCTATCCTTTTTATTATTATAGTATAATTGAATCAGTGATTTTTACATAATACTGACCTCTTTATAAGGAAAAGCAATGTACGTCGGCAACGTGGGCTCGTTTTATACCAGAAACTATTGTAAGCTGCGGATGCGACTTTGGCATTCTGAAAATGAACAAGTGGTATTAATTAGAACTAATTTGTACAAGGATTATTAAGAAAAAATAACTTGTTTATTAAAAAAAAGCAGATTTCTGTTCAACTGTTTTTACTAGAGGCAGTCACAATGGAATTTACATACAAAACGATGTGCCAACGCAATTACGTTTATACTTACCGCATGATAAATGTCGTCGGCGTACCAACATAATACACCTATTTGAATTAAAGCTGATCCTAAAAATAGTTTGTTACTTACAGCCATAAATGGCTCCAATAACTGAAATTACAAAAGGTTGCAGTAGTTATTGGAACAAACTGTTTCCAAGTATGTAAATAAAATATAGTGAGTATTATTGTTGTAATCAAAATTTCAGTCAAATATAGATAATATATTAAGTAATGGGATAGTTGGTAAATATAATTGCTATTACATTTTTTATCTGTCTGTAATTGATAGAACCGAATTGGAATTCTAAATATGTATTATTAGCTTTCGCCCGCGACTACTTTCGCGCGGAATTAAAAACAACAAATGCAAGTATCCTATATGTTCTTCCAGACTATCCTCTACATCTATGCCAAATTTCATCGAGATCCCTTTAGCCGTTTAGGCTACAAAGTAACAAACATCCATATATCTAAACTTTCGCATTTACAATATAAGAAAGATAGTAAGATAGTAAGATTAGTAAGATTATTAAGTGACTATACCCGACCGAGTTGCAGTCAGAGCAACCACGTAAGCTTGGTTAACTAAATTGGTTGACTTCACGCATATCTTTTGAATGTACACGTTTTATAATAACGTATTTTAAATTACTTACCACAATAACAAAAACCACGCAACAAATGTTGATAGAACTAAGGACGATGTTAATCAGATTTACGAGAGAGAATGCTTCTTCTAAATTGTTGCAGTATCTGAAAATATTTTGTCAAATCTAAAACTTTTGGCTGCTAGCTGCTAAAAAGTCCATACTAGCTGGTTTGCAAAGTAGTACAGTTTTATTGTTTTTAACGTATTTTTAGCACGTACACTATAAATGTGTTATCATTCTTGTTACCAAGAGAAATAACGGCGTTAACAAATAAAAACAACATTATTAAGTTATTAGAATTGTAAATATAAAAACTAGTTATCTAACGCAACTCCGTTCGCGTAGAATAAAATCTTATTTAGTGTTTCTGTTTCATTTTTCATACAGATTTTTCTAAACAAAATATATAAACAATACATCTAAACTATCCTATTTTTATTATAAGTTAGAGTCGTCGTCTACAATATTAGATAGATTAATGTGGTTTTTCGGCTTCAAATCAAACTAAACAATTAATGTAAACTTAATTCGAGATAATTTCATATTATGATTATTACTAACTAGCTGTCGCCGGCGACTCCGTCTGCGTGGTATTAAAAAAAACAAGAGTAAGTAGCCTAGGTGTTCTTCCATTGAGTATGCTCTACCTATAAGCCGAATTGCATCGAGATCCGTTCAGCCCTTTAGGCTACCATATGTTAATGAAACAAGTTAGATCGAATATCTTCAATGAACAGCAAAATAAAGTTTATAGAAATTATTTGCCTTATTAATCGTTGATGTAGTTTCACATTAGATAGAATTTCCTGGTAGTACTCTTCGTCGGTTTTGTAGACGATGGCCAGTGACTCTAAACGACGCTGCAATAGTCGGAGTAACATTCCTATGTGACTCGCCATTCCCGAGAACAACAGGTCTGTGCAGATCATTATCCATACACAGGTTTGACCTACAATCATTATTAGGACGTTTGTTTTATTTTATCAATGCTGCCTACCGATTATGAACTTTGTCAATTTGCAATAATACTTATTAAATACTAGCTTTCGCCTGCGATTCTGTCCCCATTAACAAAAAAGCATGTAGCCTATGCTAAATTTCATAGATATCCGTTCCGATCAGTTCGATGTTTAGGCTACAAACTCTAACAAACACCCATCCAACCAACTATCCATCTAAACTATCGCATTTATTATATTAGTAACAAATTTTTAATCAGTTTTTAAACGTCTAGTGAGAATGTGAACTAACGAAACCTACGATTGATCGGTGACACAGGCTAGTAATCTTTTATTACACTTACCAGCAAACATTTCAAATACATATACCGCAACGTGGGCGACTGGTTTTTGTTTATCGAAAGGATACCATGACACCCAGACGAAACCGATTTCCGCAAGTTGTCCTCGACATACACGAAAAATGTAAACTCCAATTGGCGTAAGGTTATAAAACCATACGCCAGACACATTCAACCAGAAGTACCCTGGAATTAAACAAATCAGCGTTTACTATACTTTAAAAAACAAGTAATTACTTACTAAAATGTGCACAGGTAGATTTAATCATTCGTTAGTGTTTTTGGTTCGATAATTTTACGAAATACTTTTTCAAACTACGGAACTTAGGTTTTACTCCGTTGAAACTTAAGACAAACTAACACTTATGACTCGCTAGGTAATGAAAAAATAAATGGTAACTTCAGAAACCCGGCATAAAAAAAACTACACATAACTTTTCAACTACTACAATTGCGGCCGTTTTTATGCAATTATTTCATAAACTTCTATTTTGTTATTTTTTTCAAACACTTACATCGATGTGCTATTCGTAGAGCTGAAAGACTTTTATTTTTAATATTCTGCGCATCTTCTTCGAGGGGTGACATCGGCCAGATGTCGGCCAATTCGCTTAAGAGTTGTCCGAAAACATCCTTTTTGTACCACAGCACAAATACTTTGGTTATACCTGAGAAAAATAACAAAATAAAAAAATAGTTTTAATTAGTCTGCGTAAAACTAGCCATTCGATCTTGATTTATTAAAGTATTTAAAAATTTCTTACTCAATGCTCCGTAGCCAAATGTATGTAACAAAGGTACAACATCTTCCACTCGTGGCGAGTTCCATAAAGTCAATCCGATGAATACAATCTCACTAAAAACGTGGTAACATATACCACATACGGATAATATAAACATTAGTTTCTGGCTGTAATATGACGCGAAACTATTCGGTCTGTTAAATGAAAAACCAATCCGTTGCATGCAAAATGTACTCAAAGTTAAAGATACGGCAATTTCATCTTTGGCCCTCTCTTTATTAAAATCGGTCATTTTGTAAGCTATGTTATAAACACAGGAAAGACCACTAAGCAAGCCTTTATATTGTAGCATTAAATACTCTTTTTCCTATAAAATAATAAATGATAAAGGCGTGATATCTTTCAAACTTTATTTTACTTGCAAACTTTTGTTGTTGGTTATAAACTAAAACTGAAGAAATATATCATTAAAAAGAAGTAGTGCTAAATGGGGGCGGGTCTAACAGAATTATAAATGGATTAGTTTAAAAGTTAACAACTTAAAAGACATGGATTGATCGACTTGCTACGCCTTCGTGTGAAAGTACTCAGTAATAATTGATGTCAGACGCCTGCAATTACTAATATCTAGGGTAAGTCTTGATGTATGTATGTTTCATCCGATTTGATTTTAATTAAATTAATTCAGAGAACACTAGAATATATTGTACTTTCCTTTTCAATATTTATTTTAATTAATAACGACCATATTTTATTGTAATATCTAACAGTATTGTTTGTATTTTATATGGAACATAGTCTGAAAGAACAAATAAGTTACGAAAGATTTTTTTTTATAACGCGAGGACGGAGTCGCGGGCAATAACTAGTATGATATAAACAAGAAAGCAACTAGATATAAATGGTTATAAAGGTAGAGGAAGACCGAAGAAAGTATATTTGTTTTATGTGATAGTGGATATGCGTATGAAGGGAGTGAATTTAGGTATGACGGATGATAGAGTTGTACGAGTACTGCGGCGACCTTGCTTAGGGACAGGTTGATGATAAGTCATGTACCGAACATTCAATTTATGAATGTTGATCTGAATTAGTTTAAGAAAGTATATCTTGTTAAGATTAACACATGTTTTTTTCAATTAATGGATTCGACATGTGTATAATCTGCATTGGTTTTTTATCTTTGTAATAACAGACACGAACGACTTTTTTAGTTCCTTTATTGAAACATATTTGAAGATGTATTACTTTCAACATAATAGCGATGATCGTTGGCCGATAATTTTAAGTTTAACGGTTAAGACTTTCTCACCTCTAATGGCATAATACTTTTTTTTCATTTTATTCATTTATAGAACACTATAATGGCATTATTAAAGCAATTTAAATGTTTAAAATCTATGTGTAAAAAAATGTTCAATTGGTACATACTTTTATAATGTCGGCGTAAAGTACATTTAAACTAATTTTATAAAGGGGAAAGATTTGCATTTTTGTATTCTATATTAAAATAACTCAAAAACTACTGAACTGATTTCAAAAATTCCTTCACCACTAAAATGCTACGTTATACATAGATTGGCTATATTTTTTACTATTTTTCAGTTTCATACACGAAGCCGCGAGAAACAGTTAGTGTTAAATAATGATCGATTTACTTGTTGCGCTTTCATAGATGGGAATCGACACGAATTAAGATGATTTAAGATATTCCCGCTAGAGATGCGAATGTTTCGGCAAATTTAGCGGAGCGCGGCCCGTGGCGGCTTTACAGTTCGCCACCGGGCCACCGTTACGCGGCGATTAAGCCGCGCACGCGCAACGGAGTCACTGCACGACGCCCTATTGCCTTTGTGACGCCTCTACACTTGTCATAACTGCTTTATATTAAACTATTCGCAAACCTAAAAATAAGGGTAGATTTCGTATCGAATTAGGAGTCACTCGTTAAAATTCTATGTAAGTCGTTCATACTACACGCGGTCATAATATATCAATAAAACTTACATAGGTACAAACTCTATACATGTTTTAGAAACATTTAAATATCTGATTCTTTAATAATTACTGGTATGCTCTCTTGATTAGTTTTAAATAAACTTTCTTTTGTAATCAAAGGAGATTCCATCACGTAAACTGATCGCTTTGGTGAGATGCCAGTCTACTTTTTTACAACACATATAAACTTGATTGAGTGAAGCTACTATTGATTGTTTTTATTTTTCATCGACTGAGCATTTATTGCAAGCGCAAGTTCAATCTAATGCAAAATTAATAATTGTCGATCTCTCCAGCGAGTAAAAGTGTGATATCAATGTTCGAACGACCCAGATCTTTTACGCAGTGGATGCGGCAAAAACATCTAACTATCGAACTACAAATAAAAGGTGTGAGAACGAAGTGAAATAGAGAGATATGGCGAGTCATGCGTCGACGCATTTGATCAGTCGCCGCAGTGTCCGCTGAGTAATGAATTTTGCTCTTATGTTGTTAACACAATAACCCACATTAAAACATTAAAGTTCGGGATATTGCTATTTTAGAACAATTCTATATGCGATAGTCTTCGATGGGTGCTTTTAACATGTTTTATGGTCGCGACAATGTTACAATCCTAATGAAATAGGGGCGAGTAAATTGCATGTAACTTTGTTGACGCGGTAGGTTAAAGTGAGTTTTGAACTTTGCAGTAAATTAGGTTGCATTTTCAATTAATGTTTTTGAACTGTTGTCTAGAAATCTTTAAATATTTAAAACTAAAAAGTAATGGTAAAATTGATGAAGATATCATTATCGTTCGTGCATGTTTATATTCAGGAAGAGAATATTAAGCGATATTAAAAAAGAAAATCAGAAATACGTTTTATGTTATAAGATAAAAACGTATATCAGATTTTAGAGTACAGTTACAAGTCTTATGATCAATTTGCACCTGTATGAGATTGTCTACAAATTGCTGCAGTAAATTTGTATGCACCCAGAAAGGCGTTTACATCTGACGTGTATGAATACCTTGAAATCCGGGACAGATCCACGGATAACCGTCATGATAAACATTACACATTGCTTACATTTTTGGTATGTAGAATGTAGTAAAAATAAGCGGGAAGGTGAAAAAGAGATATTTTGAATAATATTTGTAGATTTGTTTTTCAAAGCCGATCATAGTTTAGATATATAAATTAAGAATCAAATATATTAGTGGGGCATGTATGTAAATGTAACATTTTTTATACTATACTTAGTTTTTTTATGAATTAAGAGAACCCATGTTTTCCATTGAGTCTATTGTTTTAATAATAATTGGAAAGTATTGAGGAAAAGACATTGTTTTCAGTGTATTTAAATGTTGCCATGGTATCGCATCCTCAATCATTTATATTATACGCTTCTGGAATATTATCTACTCGGTATTCAATGGTAGAGACAAGTTCTAGACTAGTTCCGCGGCGCCTACACTGTATTGCAATTATTTTGGTAGCCAGTAATTGAATCTCATCAAAAAAAGTAAACAAAACAGATTGAGATTTGCCGTGCACGATGTAATTTAAGATTTTCATCGCGCCGATAATGAGAGGCAATGCGAATCACAACATTAACTTTCACTGTTGTGGAGCCATTGCTGTGCTGGCCTTAAATCCTCCTTTGGGAAACCACAGGAAATGAGACAAAAAAGTATTAAATACACGTTTATGCAGTGGTTTAACATTACTGCACTAGCTATGATTTTTTTACCCGAATTACTCGGGAGGGTTACCTTTTATGAGTGCATTTTTTAAGATCATCGACTTCTATGTATGTAAATTCGTTTTTCACCTGCCTACGACTGAACTGATCTTGAGATGTGAGTTATCATTCGGTTACTATTTTTATACCAGGGGTTATGTAGTTTTAAAATACTTTTGTATTAACCACTTTAGACTGTGTTTTAACAAGGTCTTAATATTATTGGTACTGTATTAACCATTTCGATATTGTAAAGTATTAAATATCATATCATCAGATTCTCCTAATGTTAATTTTATAGCATACTTGTTTTCAATTTAAAAAAAACTAACTAATTTGAGTAGTATATGCGTTCTTCCAGACTATCCTCTACATCTATCCCAATTATATCGAGATCCGTTCAGTCATAAGGGCAACAAACTCTAACAAACATCCATCCACCCAGCTACACTTGCCCATTAAAATGTTAGTAAGATTTTTATTCTTAGTTTTTATGGAAGTGTCATAAACTTTTATTCAGTTCGATTTGGCTTTCTCGTCCAGAGGTCAGTGTGTTACTGCATTAGTTGTGTGATTAATTGCCCTAATGTATTAAGTGTTAACAAATCTAAATTAAATAAAAATTAATCTTACAACAAAATATTTAAATTTAACGTAAGTCCATGTTATTAGAACTTCAGCCGTAAATGTGGTGGAAATTGGTCGTTTTCGTTACAATGCAAATCTCGAAGGGCGGTTCTATAGTTGGAATGCAACTCCACCGTTTTAGGTCGATATCGATGGCGTCCGCCGATGCCATTTGGAGTTCCGTTGCGCTGTCCTCTTGTTTAGGCGTGGCCTCTAGCCGGTGTTACTGGCAAATTGCAGTCTTCAGCTCGGGGCGCTTTATTGAAAATTCGATCTTTCTGCTGCATCGAGAAGGAAACCAAGGCGGTATTGGAAAATGAGTTTTTTGTGTGGGTACTAAGAGTGAAATTCGAATGTGTGTCTCGCCGGACGGAATCCGTTATCCGGCGTCAGGTTACGGTCACGTCTATATAAGAGGGCGACGTCTTCTTCACCATTTCATTTGGTTTGTGACGCCTGGTCGGCTGCGTCGGTGTCAGTACGCGCCCCGGTGTCGGTATTCGCGTCGGTGTCCGCACCACCTCGGTCGGTTCTCTTTAGGGTCCAGTGCTCGCGCATTCGTGTCGTTGCGGACAGTTTAGTTGCGTGCAACCATACAACTCGGCCCACCGTGTCATTGGAACATCAAGTTGAGACTATCGGGGTACGTATTTTTTAGTAACTACTGAAAATTAAACAAAATCATAGATACAAATGAATTTAATACTCTATAATATAAAATTAACAATAAAACTTAAGAAAAACGAGAAAGCAGGAATAAAAAATGTTACTATTTTTAATCTACTTCTATATAATCTAAAATTATTTGTAATGTTTGATTTTTATCCGTTGCACTGTGTACGGTTTGTATCCTACTCTACATAACTCTACTAAAAATCTGATTTAAATAAGTACTTCGTATATTGAAGACAACGGCATCGAAATATGACATAATATCGAAGGCTTAACAATTAACAACTAAGCCAAATGTTACTGTGATAATTTCCTTCTGCGATACATTTTTTACTCAATAAGCAGTGTTATTAGAGACTTTGTGAGAGTGTTGACTATACGAATCTCTAGGAATAATTGATTTAGACCAAAATAAACTTTTATTACAGCGTAAATAACTTGGACGACATTTCAAATAAACGTTAACATTGCTAACGAATGTTTGAATACGTTTTATTTTATTTTAAAATAACTCAAAATCTACATACAAACTAAATATTTTGAAATTAAACTAGCAATAAACTCAAAATCAACGGAAGTTTATAGCATTTTTTAAGGAATTTCAGTATCGAAACAAGACGGTTTTAATATATGTGTTTCAGCGATGGAAATCCACGGACAAACATTCCAAACAGTTCTATACAACGTTCGATTCGCGTTACACGAAGCTACGCAAAAGCACGGTGTACGTAGATGGTAAAATGATTGCTGTCATTATTGTGGAATTACAAGGGGAATAAGTCGGCATCTACGAGTACCAACATTATATGCACTTGCATGAGATATTAACCGATCGCTATTGTTTATTGCTTGTGGCGTGTTAAATGCCTTTTGAATTCCATTTTCAAAATCATTCAATACATAATTAACGTTGGTCTTGTATTGAGTAAAAGATTCGTGCATATTTAATTAATTTGAATTTCCAAAGCCCGCAAGGTCAACGACCTTTTGATTTGTTTTATCGGATATTGTCACATGAAAATCAATTTATAGGACTTAATTTAATGCAAAGCTTGTTACAATATTTAAATCAGAATATAAATTTATAAGCTTTATAAAGTACAAGCTAAGCTAAGCTTTATATTTGTAACTTTGTACGTACTATGAATATGAAATAGCAAATGTTAACCCAGTGGTTTAGTGGTTAGAGTACCTACAGTCAGTGGCGAGTTCAAAGTTTGCAGAGATAAAAAATGTTATAAAGTTCTTATCTGTATCTGTACTTATTTTTTACATAAAAAGAAAAGCTTTATTTAAATTGAATTTAATATGAAGTTATTGGTCTCTTTTAGAAAACTTGGTTTTAGTTATATGGAATTATAGGTGCTCTTGTAGTAATAGGTCGTAGTTATGTCTAATTATAGACATTTTATTAAGTAGCGTAAGTGGGAAAGGATCCGGGGAGGGTGAGGGCAAGACTAAATCTTGCTTAAAACTGGTTCTAACAGGAGCTTGTTAGTGAACTCGTTATTAAGGAAAGGTTTCCATTAAATCGATTTAAAATATCTACTGCTTTAAAATGATTATTAAAATTAGATTACTGTAAAACTTATAATGTTTTTTTGTTATTTTCAAATAAAGAAAATTTCGAAATGTATTTAAAAAACATTTTAAATGTAGTGTACTGTAGTCGTTCTTAAAGGTGAAAATTTTAAAAGGAAACCTTTTCATAGTTAAACCTATACAGCCTCACATATAAACGCGGTTTAAAGTTAAACTTAGAAATAACATGAGTATCAGCAAATATTAGTACAAATTTTGCTTATACTCAGTTTATTCCAAGTGTAACTTTATACCGCGTTTATTTGTAAGGCTGATACGGTATATTTACACCTTTTAAAATCTTAATAATTAATATATCAATCCAATGATCACATTAGGATGACAGACCTTATAATTTTAAAGACACAACTCGTGTTGTTAGTTTGACAGATAAATCAAAATTCAGGCATAGACAACAACGATTAATGGCCGCTCACGTCATTGCATAGTGTGTCGTAACTTAGGAGAAAAAAAAACTTGTCTATAATAACCATACGCGTGGGCGCATAACCAGTTGGTAGGTTTTTTTGCCGACAAGTGCACATGACCTTGACCGAAGACGCTTGTGCGCCCAAATCAGTGATCGACCTACATATGAATATCAGAACATAGATCTCTATTGTTTTTGTAGATAGTTAGGTCGGCTTGAAAATGACTGTATTTGCTTAAACGCACCTGACTAACAGAGTTCATTTCATCCCTGTTATAAGAATTCTTACCTTCGATACAAATCCTGGCCGTTAGCTCCAAAATAGCGAAAATAGGCACAAAAACCTCGACTTATATCCTGTCCTTGTATACAGATTAGGGACGAATCAGTATTGCCTTTAGAAATTTATTCAACATGTTTTTATTATAAAAATCAATGTGAATTGATAATTCGATATCGAACGAATTTGAATATTTTTGCACAAAACTTTTTATCAACAACTTTCACATGTTCCTTGTGCGGAGCAAATTTCTCCGTTAAGCTATAAAGTCGAGACTTGTACATAGCCTTGCGACCTAGATCACGTCATGGCACAAGAATGCTATAGTCATAATCTGGTAGTTCTTAAAAAATCAGATTATTTTAACAGTGCTAACTGTAAATTTGCACGTGCGATTTGTAAATGTTGTAATATATGTCTCTTGAATTAAAGTATTTTTTTATGTAGAAAGTTTTAAGAGATTCTTTTAATTAAACTGGATGTAGTTTATAAATTTTATTTCATCGTTATTAAAATGTTTTGAAAATATTAAAAAAATATAGCTTCAAGAGTCCATTGACGTAACCAACTAAGGGCTCAATATTGAAACGAATCTTAATTTCGCATTGTAAAAGCTGCTTACAATCTGCCAGACGTCAAAACTTGAATAGAATTTGTTGTTGAAGCGTGGCTTTATCATTTAAACGTCGTTAATTATTCAGCGTTTTGAAGGATATCTTGCTAACTTGAGTACATTTTTTAAAACTTTATGAAATTTTCTTCATATGCAAGTTCATCTTTGTACACATTTGATATAGTTTCTGTTGCGTTACGTTACTATATACTACCAAAGTCAGTTACGTTGACCGTTCCGAACGATTTCTAAAATGGGCCTTCAATAATGGTCGGAGTATAGTGTGTGTAATTGCGGCATGCACCGTACGCGATGATAAAGCGCCAGTACTTTCCCCCGACCCAGTGCCCTCTCTGCGATGCGCGATGCCGACCCACAAACTTCTTACAATTCCGTAATGTCTCGTATTTTATTTGAAATTTGCCGGCTCATTACACGTCTCGTATACAGTTATATCTAATAACATATCTCGAGGTAACGATTGTCCACTTCGACTCGTGATGATGTATACCTTTACTCGTACCTTTTCCAGACAGGATTTCCGTGATATGCGAATTCGTCGACATATGGACCTATCTGAGGAATAAAATTACATCTCAGATTTACTGAGAGATGTAACTTTTTTGTCGGTTTTGTGGGTCAATATTTCTCTTATTTCAACGTAAAGATATGGTGAAACAGATGACAATGTAACTAATAAAAGATTTACTGGTTACTTTAATTAAAAATTCTTTAGGTATGTTATTTTACATTCATAAAACAAATGAAAAGCGATACATTATCGCTGAGTAAAATGAGTTGTATTTTTGCTATTTTTTTTTAGTTTCACGTGAGCTAAGTCGCGAGCAATTGTTATATTTACCACAGGTTGTAGGGTTTAAAAAAATATTTGCATCTTTTTACATACATTACAGTTATTTTATTTGTATGTACCAGTGCAAAGTTCGTCGTTTTAAGATGATACTTCATTTTCCTTATTTACATTTTTTATTTACAATCTCGCAGCAAAATAAATTGGCTAATCACAAAAAATCTAATAGATATACCGTTAAACGCTTCGGAATCCCTTATAAAAACTCGGTAATGTCCTGCGAGCCAAATTCAATTATTGCGCTCGTTTGGTAACCTTGACGGCCGCGTGGTTCACAAGTCACTGCACTGATGAAACAAGTCATGGACCTAATATTGAGTCATCGACTTTACATTTGAAATGATATTTGCGCAAACATTTACCAAAAGGAAGGGCGTGTTACTGGCATGTGTCATTTACTGGCGTAATGCGTATACACATGCCAGTAAAAGAGAATAGTAGCTTTATGCCAGTTCACTAGGATGTACGAGACGAAATGTCAGTGTCAAACGTGACCTATCTCTCGACTTGAATGACTGCAACTGTCGCAGAGTCCAATATCATGATAGCTATTTCCATGCCAGTTAGCATGGCTATATGTTCACTTCTATCGTGTATACCCGCCTTAACGTTCAATTAGCATTTACCATAAATTTCAATATATCAAGTGCATCTCACATTTATTTCTGTAACTTTTGACTCATGTTGTCGCATCTAGCAGTATCGTTAATCGAATGTGATTTCGCCTCCGAGCTAAAATAGTTCCCAGAAGTGTAATGATGCTCGAACATTGTCCCTGCGTCTAGCGTCAACAGCCTCCAGCAAATGTGTATTAATAGGCGTGTAATTCAATCGAAGCTCCATTGCTCGGACCGCATTATATTGGAATGATTTCTTTTGTAATGATAGAAAAAACGTTGCAATCAGATACCCCGCGTGGCTCGCAGATAATATTATAATGTGATCAATTATTGAGCTTTGTTGTCAAAATATGCAATTATAAGATGTTACGTGAATATCATAAAGTTAATTTTAAATATTGAAATCAGATAAAATTATGTTTCTTTTATTAATTATTATATTAATGAAATAATTTTCTAATGTCGTATTGTCAAAAATAAAATAATTTATCTGCGAATTAATTTAGTTTCAATGTATGCTTTTGTAACCTATTATATTTTAACAGTAAAATGTTTATAAAAGAAATTGTTTAAAAT